ATATATATATAAAAGAAAGGAAATGTGCATGTGCACGTTTCCAAAAAAAAAGAAAAGAAAAGAAAAAGGGGAGTGGGAGGAAACGTGTTGTTGCACGTTTCCTCACCATGAGGAAATGGAGTAAATGTGCGGTTGCATATTTACTCAAAAACGGAATGAGTTCTGTTTTTAAGAAGTGGAACGAAAAAGGTTTTTTTTTTTTTTTTTCCAGAGAATAGAAAGAAAGAAAAAAGAAAGAACGGAGAACAAAAAGAAAACCAAAGAAAATTTCTTGAATGCCATCATATACTTTTGAGAAAAGTGAGTGATAACTATAGGTGACTTCCCTATTCATCCATCTCATGTGTTGAGAAACCCATTAGAACGCCCACATGTTCGAGTTCATGTTAATCCGGAGATACGTTGAGAAAGAACCGTGGTGTTCTTGGAATTTAAGAGCTCAAGACGGTGTTGGAGGAGTTCAAGATTTTCGTCATAATCGAACGACGGTCAAATCCTCATTCCTTTCTTTAATATCTTTGTAGTTAAATTGACATGAAATAATGATCACATTAAATTTTGATTTATGTGATTCGATCGATATCACGCTTTCACATAATTTTTTTGAAAATCCAGTTTGAGAAACCAACAATAACAAGATATCCTATTGTAAGCAAATTATAATTCAAATATTGAAATGAGGAAACTAGCTAAAAAAGTAGATATTTACAAATTTAAATAAATACAAAAACTATCTTAAGTGATATCTCCTATAATAAGAATATTGTAGAAGGATTCTAGGATTTTTTTTTTTTTTTTTTTATTGAGAAATGAGTTATTTCACAAATCTCACCATCACCTATCTCTTATTGACTAATATCGTGTTTATTTCATAGGTCTAAATATAAATCTAAATTTAAATTTTATGAGAGAAAAAATTTTAAATCTACGAGACTAACAACTCATAAAATAATTTGAAAATCTCCCAAGTGGGATAAAAAGTCAATTTTAACCAAAGATGAACAAGTCCAAATCAATTTCTCATGGTGCACCAATACCAAAACCACACCGCACGAAGGTTCCCAAAAATAGCTTGGATCCATATATAAGACATATTCGCGTATCGAAACGAATGAACAAGAAACTTAGAAATAGGCCTTGAAAAAAAGGGGCATCAACAAAGATGAAGTTATGAATGACATAGGAAAATGAAAAGGCAATTTTTTAAGTAATGAGAATGTCAATTGTAAGTTTTATAATAATCACAAAAAATAAAAAAAATTATAGCATACTTCGGTCACTAGCAACAAACACCACAACACCACCAATAATACCACTGTACTTCGGCATCTTCAGTTTTTTTTTTTTTTTTTTTTTTTCCTTTTTTTTTTTTTTTTTTTTTTTTTTTTTTTACCTCTTTTTTTTTCATGTCTTTTTTTTTTTTGGTAACAAAAATCTTTTTTTTTTTTCCAATGGCACATCATGTGGTGTCGAAGTTCTCGAACTTTTTGTCGACCACAGTGCATATAAGATTTTTCAAGAGTTAAACAATCACCACTTGTTTTCTGTCTCCTTATAGCCAACCACCAACATACATTTGGTAAACGCTCTTGTCGCAAAGACATATAAAGAATCAAGGCCTTCAAAACCTTCTCTAACATGGGCAATACTTTGATACCATGTTTGTCATTTTGCCTTTTCCTATGTTCTAGATAACATTTTTCTATCTTCCAAAATTATAATGACTCTCTCTTTTGGGCCTGCCATATATTTTACAAACACGCTTACCCAAAAATAAAAACGTATTTTTCTTACTGAATAAAACAAAATCTGGTGGTGCACTTCATTTTCCTTAGCAGTAATCTTGAAAATCATTGAATGTTGAAGTGCTTGAACTAGTCTCCCACTGACCATCTAATTACTTTTCACTCTCTTTCATCCTGTGAGGCCCGCGGAGTTCCACTTAATCTCTCATAAAGACAGAATAGTAACGCGCATATACAGAGTATCGAACCCTAAAAAGATAGGTGTCCTTACCATTACAAAAAATATACTTAAGGCGGCTATTAGAATCATTTTTTTTCCTATATTTCAGCCTTGTTTTGCACGTATATTCTAGAGCTAGGAATAGAATCATTCTAAGAGCTCATTTTTTGTTGTTTCTTGCATAAAATAATATATATATATATATTTATTGTATACACAAATACATAGCTAATTCTTCAAGCTTAACACCAGAAAAGAAGGCAAACTGAGAATGGAAGTGACAAACAGATACATAACAGTAAAGGCTCATGTAGAGGGGGAACCGACAGAGTCTGACTTTGAGATTAAATCTTCAACTATTTCTACATCAGTTCAGCCCGGTTCGAACGACATTATTCTGAAGAATCTGTATGTTTCAATCGATCCATACCAGATAAACCGAATCAAGAGCCATAGTGCCTCTCACACGACTTCAAGTTTTGCTGTTGTTATCACTCCTGGAGAGGTAAGCCGCCATTAAAAAATAATAATAATAATAAAAAAAAGAACTATTGCCTTGAAAGTTTCTTTTCTATTCAGTTTGATTTTTTGGTATTAAAAGTGAAGAGAATGATGGAAATTATTTTACGAGAGATAATCTCAACATTTTTTAGATGCAGGGTAGATTCTTGCATTTCGATTAAACGCGGGGAGATTTTTGTGATTATTACTACCATTTAATGAGTGTGCAATTGATGCTTATGTTATTATTTACTACCATTTTTGTTATTATTTTTGTTTATGTTTGGACAGACAATTGATGCTTATGGAGTGGCTAGAGTTGTGGCTTCTGGGAATCCTGAATTTGAGAAAGGTGACTTGGTTGTAGGAATGATTACGTGGGGAGAATATTGTGTGCTAAAAGGAGAATACATGTTGAGGAAACTGGATCCCATGGGATTTCCTCTTTCTTACCATGTGGGGATTTTTGGTAATTTGCCATATCTCTATAACCTTTCATGTCAATCCTTTATATCGATACAATATCTGGAAAAAAAAAAAAGAAAAAAAAAGAAGGTTTTTAGCACTTGTAGGCTTGTATTTTGGCATTTCCGTCCCTTAATTTTATTTATTTATTTATTTTGTGGTAATTGAACCCATGAAGTTTCAAAAGACTAGAAATTAACTCTAAGGAGAATGTAATAAATAGCATATTTTTTAAATTAAATTAAGTATAAAGAAGATTTTAAAACTATTTGAAATAATAGCAATTTACATGGTAAATTAATCATTTACCGTGTAAATAGTTCATTTACAGTTAGTAAAAACATTTTTTCACGTAAATTTTATTTTTACAACTGAAATAAAAAAAAAATTCCATGTAAATAAAAATTGTTTAAAGATTTTTTACCGCATAAGTTATTTTTTTACCAATCATAAATGATTTATTTACTATGTAAACTGCTATTCGCTTCAAATAGTTTAAAATCTGCTATTTACTTAATTTAGTTTTAAAAATTTGATATTTACTACAATTTCCCTGAACTTCTAATAGTTAATACAATAGTTACATTTTAGAAAATCATATAGCGAATTTCAGGATATAAATTACAAAGAAATAATAAATAAGTTTTTGGGGAATAAAGTGCCAAACTATAAGAAGTTTGGGGAGGGCACAGATGCTATAGATTATCCTGATTCTGTTCCAAATTTAACCTCTGTTAACTATTGGAGTCAATTTGCTCTTATCTTATTAAACTTAAGGAGTAAATTATCAAGTAAAAAAGTTCAGGGAAAACAGTAAAGAAGTTGCCCATGTGATCTTTGTTTTTCCTCAGCATTTAGCGGTCTGACGGCCTATGCGGGACTTTTTGAGGTGGGCAAGCCTAAGAAGGGTGAAAAAGTGTTTGTATCTGCAGCTTCTGGTTCAATAGGCCATTTGGTTGGACAATATGCTAAACAGTTTGGTTGTTATGTTGTTGGCTGCGCTGGAAGCAAAGAAAAGGTAACGCATCGGATTACTCGCGTTGGTAAATTGATTTTTGATTTTTTTTAACACATATAAAAGTGTTTCAGACACTTGTGTTAAATGTGTAGGTAGCCTTGTTGAAGGAAAAACTTGGATTTGATGATGCGTTCAACTACAAGGAGGAAACCGACTTGAAATCAGCTCTCAAAAGGTAAAGGCCTCTATTTGATGCTTTTTATATTGTGTGTTTAGATACTATAACTAAAAGGAACATCATGAAAAAAAAAATGAAAAAAAAAGTCATGAAACTAAGATATGATTTTTGCGAAAGTGACTAAACTATAAGGATAATGTCGGTTGAGTATAAAAAAGAAACGTATTGGTATATGTTGTGCAATTCAAAATCATCAATATCTTTATCGAATTCGGTCAATTTGCATACTTTTTATTTAAAAGTTCCTGTATAGTAAAAGTACATTATTTTTGTTGGCTATACTGTAAGTACTTTTTGCATATAATTCTCTCTAGGTACTTCCCTGATGGAATAGATGTCTACTTTGACAATGTCGGGGGAGAGATGCTAGAAGCAGCAGTAGCCAACATGAACATCTACGGTCGGATTGCAGCCTGCGGGGTGATTGCTGAGTACACAGGTGTGGGAAAGCGAGCCGCGCCGGATATGCTAGAGATTGTGTACAAGAGGATCACGATACACGGATTCTTGACGTCTGATTACATGAATCTCTATCCGGATTTTCTCTCAGCCACCGTGGATTACCTCCGCACGGGCGCAATTCAGACGCTTGAAGACATCTCAAGTGGTGTGGAGAGCATTGCACCGGCTTTTGTTGGTCTGTTTCATGGTGCTAACACTGGGAAGAAGATTGTGAAATTGGCAGATGAATGAGCTTTGATAAGACTTCTTTTTTAGCTTGGTTGATCAATAAATTATAATAGATGTGTTTTTTACTTGCAATTGTTGACTATGTACTATGAGAGCTTGGAATAGTATTGGCGCATGTACTAATTTCATCTAATTTTGGGTACGGACAATCACAAAATCCTCCACCATATTTAGTGTAACGCGCTTAAAGTTGTTCTCATAAATTACGAACAATTTTGTTTTTCCTTCCTTTTTCACTACGGCAATCCCCCTCACATCATGTTTGATTAATCAGATGGAAAATAGTAAGGAAGGAGAAGCAAGTATCAAGCTAAACAAAATAAAAAGGAAGTATGAAGTTTTTCTTTCCTATTATTTGGTAGTAGATAAAGAAATAGGAAAAACATGTGTAACGTAATTTATTTATTTTTTCTATTATACTTTATATAGCGCCGGCAACTCGTGTTGCTATGTTCAGTTCGTGCTCTGTCATGTCGTGCCCCTTAATAGACACTATAACTCTTAATACGAACCTGACCCATTTGATAATTATGTCAGAAGATAAAACTCAAACACGACTCTTTAATTAAAGGGTTGACACAAACTCAACACGACTAACTTATTTACTAAAGGAGTCATTACCGTGTCATGTTAATCTGAAACACATTTACAACTCATCTACTGAAATCCATTGTTTAAGCTAAAAGAAAACTTAAAAGAAATTAAAAAAAAAAATCAACAACTTAGCAAAATAGTAAACTTAAAATAACAAAACAAAGTACTAAAACAATAAATAACAATCAGACACATGGAAACAATATCAAGTTTTACAATCTTTATAAAATAGGTTATAGCGTGTTGTATTTATGTTAACCTAGGTTATTGCAGGTTAAGTTCATGTTGAAAAATTCGTGTCGTGTTGACCTTTTATTTAATCGTGTTTGGCGGGTTCAACCCGTTTTGATTCAAACTCATTTAAAGCAAACCCAAACCCTCTAACTCCGTGCGTGTTTAGAGTCGTGTTGGCCATGTCGCAACCCAAATTGAAATTAAAATTCATGCCAATTTTGACTGGTTTAACACTAGACAAAAAGGATCCACACATCAAGAGTATTAAAACCCTGATTAGATGCTAATTTCTATGTATAATGTAACTAAGTGCTTTTTTTTTAACAAGCAAAAAACTTTATTCAAAGAAAATAAATCAAAGAAAAAATCTACAAAACAAAAAAAAAAGTATGATGACTTTTCACTTCGAGCTAGAAGCTTGTAAGATGACTTTTCCTCTTCCGGATTGATTCTTGTTCAGTTTTTTCCACAAGTATCAAAATATACCCATTTTTTCATGAACCCGAAGCAACAATTTTGCCTTTGCTAAAGCAAGTGTGTGGCTGTTGATTTTTGAAGCATTTTCTGCTCTAGTGCTACTATCTTCAAAAGAATTCTCAAGTACTAGATCCGCCTACGATTGTCTATTCATTTCATGTGGAGAATCTGATTGATAAAATGTGACTGCATTAGGGCCAGTAAGAATAACCTCTAAATTGATACCATGAATACTTTGGGCATGCATCGGAGGGTTATTTTGTACCCTCCCTGATTTGAACTCCTATTGCCCTATTCTCTGGCTTTCTTGAAATAACTAGAGTAAAGGCCCCTTGTGGTCATAATCAATTTGGTCTGTCCAATGGCGAGGTATGACTTTAGCAGCTTTCTGAACCATTTTCTTGATATTCTTTGTACCCCCTAATGCTTGGCTCATGTAAAATTTATCATTAAATTATCTCTGTCAATATGGTTTTTAGTAAAATTGTCTCCTGAACTTATCGTGGTTTAATAAATTACTCTCTAAATTTTTAATTTTAATAATCAACCCTTAAACTTATAAAATTGTTGTAATATGCCCCATTTTATTAAATTTGTTCAAATTTTTTTCTTAAATTTAAGGGATTAAAAGTTGAAAAATTAAAAGATTTTGTGTTACATTTAGATTGGGATGTTCAAACTTTTCGTCAAACGTGCCTTTTCGATACTAATTTAACACAATCATCGTCAAAATGAGACATATTAGGCATATTGGAATAATTTTATAAGCTGGGGGATAACTTATCAAAATTAAAAGTTCAGAGAATAAGTTACTAATATCTTATAAAGTTCAGGAAATAAATGTGTAAAATACCCCAATAATATTGTTTGTAGAAACAACCGTTGGATCATCGACTTTTTACTTATCTTCTGACACTATATCAACATCCATATTTCTGTCAATTACTACATCTATAGAACCATTGACTTTATCCTCGCTGGTAGTTGGAATTCAAAAGGTTACCCTCAAATGTTGCCTTGAACATTTTGAGGGTTGCTAATTATACATGTTAATTAACTTCAAGTACCCCTTCGAAATGGACTTGGATCCTCTATTCAAAATTTATGACCAATCCCCATCCATCTAATCCCAAGGCGTACAAATTTTTATGAACATTTAACATTGTTAGTGTAACGACCCACATCCCTACTTGGTATGATATTATCTGCTTTGGGACTGAGCCCACGTGATTTTACTTTTTGGACTGAGCCCCAATTGACCTCATACCATTGGAAGGTGGTGTCATTTCTTATAAACTAGGACCTATCCTCATCATCAGGCGATGTGGGACTGCACAACTTACTATTTCTTGGCCTTGTGTCTTAAGGGACTGATAGCTGTCACAATCACCACTCCTTATAGGTCCCAACGTCCTTATTTGTCACATTTCTGGCTGGGTAGAGGCTCTGATACCATATGTAACGACTCACATCTCCACTTAATATGATGTCGCTTTGAGTCTAAACCCGCACGGTTTTGCTTTTGGGCTTCATCCTAAAAGGGCTCATACTATTAGAAGGTGGTGTCATTCCTTATAAACAAGGACCTATCTTCATCCCTGGCCAATGTGGGACTGCACAAATTACCCTTTCTTAGCATTGTGCCTCAAGGGATTGATGGCTGTCACAATTAAAAAAAATCTATGATTTCTTTAAGTCATTCAAAGTAAAGTGTTTCAATTTTAACTATTTTCCTCATTCGTTAAGATGTAAATATTTGAAAGTTAAGATAATTGTGACGATCCATGAGGGGTCGTTACAGATATGGTATCAAAGAGATTTCCTATTTCTTATCATGTATTGCCATGCATTTACTTCAAAATTCTCTGTAAGTAGGTATTTATTTATTTTAGATGAAATGTCACTACACCAAAAATGCTTTTAATAACGTTTAATTATAGCGTTTTTAAAAAACCGTTATTAAAACTTATTTTAATTACATTTCATAGCGTTTTAAAAAAGTTATTTTCAATATATATATATATATTAGAAAATCATGAAATGTTTTGGCGGGTTGTGAAAATTAAAATTTCTCTCTCTTTCTCATATTTATTTTTCTGTCTCTCCTTATTCTACATGTACTCTCTCTCTCTCTCCTTCTCGTTCTTCTCTTCCTCTGCCGAACTCTCTCTCTCTTCTTCCAAGAAAAATTTTCAAATTTCAAAATTTAATAACTCACTCGTTCTTGATTGGAATTGAGTGATTCTTGTTTCTATGAGTTCACAATGAAGAGGAGAACGAGATGACACCCATATTGCCTATGGAATCCATCACGCTCGGAAGCTCACCGGAGCGCCGCCGTCGTCCGCGCCGTGAGCCGCCATCTCCGGCGGTGGAGGTCGACACTACTTGATTCAAAATGTTGAGGGCGACGTCGGGATGCTAAGCCCTCAAGAAATTTTGAGGAAGGAGCTTCTATTTTTGAGGTACCACTTTTTCCTCCTATTTGGTTTAAATCTGAATTTACTCTTGTTTTTCTTGTTCTATTTTCGTTAACAGAGATCCCAATAAGATTGTTTAACTTATTGCATTCTATTTGCGTTCGATTTTGTAGGCTCATCCCTTGGTCGTAAACAGAGATCCCAAATACACAAACTTCGTTGAGGTAAAGTTTCCTCTTTTTCGATTTGATTTCTGCCCTAATCGTGGTGTCCATGTAGTTTTGAATAACTTATTTAATTTATGAACGGGATTGGAAATCAGGTTGTTTAATTTCTCATTTGTGATCAGCTGGGAGTGCGCCTTTTCTTTTTTTTTTTTGCTGAAATTGAAATGAACTACTTGGTCGTTAGATATATCACGTAATAGTTTTGTTAGGGTTTTGCGCCCGAAAAATGTTGAGGAGAATTTTTTAAATGTATAATTTTTTGTTGTGACTTGTGAAGAAAATAGACATTTTATTGTTATGGTTTTTCTTATGTACCTGCATTGTTGCTGCCTTGTGACTTTATATCAATGTTTCACTGTGGGTAATAATCTGAGCAAGATGATGTTTTGATTAATAATATATATCTTAAACTACGTTTTTATAAATATTATTCATGAATTTAATCTTATTTCAGACACATAATAACAAATTTCAGTCCTTTAAACTTCTTTTCTCGGTGAAGATAAAATTCGGAATTCATATCTGTTTATAGTTTCCTACACGTTTGTTCTTAGTATGATCATGTCTGACAACCTATTCGGAGGTCTCGTAGATTGTAAGGAGTTGAAGCTTCTCCTGCACCAGGTGTGGGTTTAGCTTCGATCTTTGCAGAAGAAATGCCATGCTTTCAGAGAAGGGCGTTCAGGCCCCATCTAGGAAGACGGGTACTACTATTGTGGGTTTAGTTTTCCAGGTACTCCGTTTTCTCTGTGCTTCTCATTGTTGTTTCATTCAAGTTTGTTTGCCTCTCTTACTGCGAATTTCTCTGTGAAATAGCGCTGAAAGTTTTAAGACTTTAAGATTCATGAATTTAGTTAGCATATTTTGATATCAATCCGTTTGTTATTTACATGAAGCTATGATGTAGCATTGTAACTCATCAGTTACTGCTGCGAAGAACTTTAGGATACCTTTTGTATTTATTCCTTGAAGTATGTGGGTGAGATGGGAAGAAAGGGCAGGATCTTGAACACATTTTTGCAGTTGCACCATATGTATTGTTGACGTTATGACTGAATTCAAATCAAATATAAGAGGCTTTACTTGGAAGTGATGTTATAGACGCCATCTCTCAGTGCATATCTGTTTGAACATAGGAACTGATTTGTTACCGACGGGATTACAGGTTCAATAATAGGGGACTATTTGTGCTTGAACTTTATGTATTGTCTAAGAATCTTCTTAATTGGTAATGTCGTAGTGAAATATGCTTTCCGGCTTTGGCATCTATGCAATTGAATGTATGACACCTTGATTTTTATGAATAAAGATTTGACGTTATGCAGTTACATAGAGTAGCAATTTGGACAAAGGCACATAAGAAAAAAAGTGGTGAACCTGTCAATTCAGCAGTTGGTGAAGTCATTGTAAGAAAAAATTTAGCTTATTGTAATGTTGTATATCAATGTCTATATTGTTGTGCTTATGCTTCTATACTTTTGCTCAGTGTTGGTATAGGAAAATTTGGAACAAATACAAAATGAGAGACCCACTTGTTTTTTCTTTTTTTCCTCCATTTTTGATTTTTTTAGCGCTTTGGGAACATGGCTGGTGTTTTTCAAGTAATGGCATTTGGAGTTCGGGTGTTGGACAAGAAGGATCTTGATCCTTCTTTCAAGGCTAAGCTTGCTAAGATTGCCACGGCTGAGATGATTTCCTCCAAGGTAAAGCCGAAAGGGAATGAATTCTGGATTTGATTATCAGTTGATTGATTTATTTGTACTTGTAGGAGTATTCTTTTTGAAGCTATGTTGGCAGTTTATTACTTTGTTAGCTCTTGTTTGATTTTAATTCTGTGATGGTGTAATTAGGGTCAAAAGTAGTCTATACTTAACTAGTTGATTGTTGGCATTTGGGTCTCTTGTCATTTAGTCTTCTATTGAGTGAATACTGCTGGCTAAAGTCCTTCCACGGCAGGAGAAAGGCAGGATAACGTCCCCGTTGTTGGACCAGAACAAGAAACAGAAGCTAGTCGTCATTTGCCTCAGGTTTAATGAAGTTTTCTATTCTTATATTTTGCTTAAGTTGATAAAAAAAAATGGTGTTACTATTATGCCATTCTTGCTTTTGGGCTAAATGCATCCATAGCTCATTTGGAATTAAATTCTGTTGATTGTTCCATTCATTCATAATATTGAATTTGCTCTCTTAGTAAGGTCTTCTATGTACAAGCATAACAATCAAGATAAAACCAATTATAAAGTTAGGGATTTTAAGACGTTTTGGTTACTCTTTTATATTGTTGAGCTTTGAAGCTAAAGGTCTTTGGACTTTCTTATACAGCCTTTAACAGAAGTGTTGTTGATGAACTGTCTTATACAGCCTTATGTGTTGTATACACCCATAGAGATGTATATATGATCTTTCGAATCTGGACTCGTGAAAATAGGAGTGTGGCTAAGGTAAGCTTTATCATCACACGAAACCATTTGTTTTTTCCCCCTTTTTTTTGGTATTTGGACTTGTGCTTTATATGTTGCATACAATTGATATTTATTTGTTAAGGTTCTTTAGAGACTTTTATCTTTATCATTTTTTAAGATCCCTCTGTACTACTCTTTGCTTATGTACTTTTGGATTCTTTTTGTTAATTGGGTCCCTTGTTAAATCCTTTGTTGTGATAATGAATTTCTTGCTGTGATTAATGAAATTCTTTGCTATTTTGTTTTGCTTTGCTTTGTTGAACGGTTTTATGCAGGAGTTGTCACCAGGTTTTTTCCTTTCTTTCTTCTTCAGGTTTAAATGTAGGCAATGTAGACTCATGTTTTCTCCAACTATCTACATAACAATAAATGTAAGATACTCTCTGTTTTACAAGTTTGACATTAAATTTTTGCCTAGTGCATCATTGAAGCCATGTTTCCTCTAACTCACTGCAAAACATATGTGGATGTGGCTATGTAGTTGTGAATGGTGTAACTAGTCATTGCTTTATTTATGGGTTAAATGGTGAAAGTTTTAGCTGAGTTTGATTATTGTTTTGATAGTGGATCACTTTTTTACAGGTTAAACAGTGGAGATGGCTTTTTTGTTCAAGCATTTTGTCAAGGTGGAAGGATTTACTTCACCATTGCACTAGTTAGACGTTTTGGAGAGGATTTCTCAGTTTTCTTTACTTGTTTTGAATGTTAAGGTCTTGGACATTGTATGAATTATGTTGTAGACGTAATTTTATTGCCAGTTTGGTAGATATTAATAACAATTGATATGTTGAATGTTTTTATGTTTTAATTTGAATGTTCCTATTTAGATATATGACATATCTCGGAATTATCATTTATTTCAATGAATTGAAAAGGATATCAATAATAATTTTAAAAAGTTATAACAGTATGAACATAACAAGGAAAAAAAGTTATTAATCTGTATTGTAGTTATGCTAAAGAGTTGTAAGAGGATGAAAATAGCTTGTCTTAAATGTTATAATATTTCAATTCTATAGTGTTTTTTATAGCTCTTTTAAAACGCTATGTTTTCTTAGGATCTATAATAGCGCCCGTTGTCTTAGCGCTCTAAAAAGTGCTATTGTTAGTGATTAATAGCGTTTTTGGACTGCTACTGATGATGATATTTCTTGTAGTAAGTTTTTTTTTTAAACCATAGAAGTGTGGATCCTTAATCGATATCCTGAGATAGGGAGTTTCTTTATTAGTTAAATTTTAATTATTGACAGATGATTAAGATAAGATGGCACGCGGATGAGAACACGATGCTCGTGGCCGTGGTAATGGACGTGGGCAAGCTAGAACTGAGGTTGCGGGAGAACCCAATTTAGCAGAGGTGATGGCACAGTTGCATCAAGGCTAATGGTATGAGGCCTTTTGGGGTGAAGTCCAAAAATAAAAACCGTGCGGGCTGAGGCCCAAAGCGGATAATATCATACCAGGTGAGGGTATGGGTCGTTACATATGGTATCAGAGACTACCCAGCAGAAAATGTGGTCAACGAGGACGTTGGGCTCCAATGAGGAGGGGTGATTTTAACAGCCATCAATCTCTTGAGGTACAAGGCTAAGAAAGGGTAAGCTGTACCGTCCCACAATGCCTGGGGATGAAGATAGGTCCTAATTTATAAGGAATGACACCACCTCTCAATAGTATGAGGTATTTTAGAGTAAAGCCTAAAAATAAAATCGTGCCTCAGGCTCAAAACGGATAATATCATACCAAATAAAGGTACAAGTCGTTACAGTTAGCCTCTATGTTTCCTTTCATTTAACTTTGTCTGAAGCTTCACTCTTAAAAGTAAAAATTTGAAGAATAATATGAACTTTAAAAAAATCAATATGAAAACCGCAATTAAAAAACTTCAAGGAATAAAACAAAAGAAAACTTTTGAGAAGTCTTTTTTTTTTTGGAGATAAAAGTTTAAGAAAGTCCCTTCGGTCATGACGGCAGCTACTTCGGGGTTAAGGTAGATCTAACCTTTGCGCAGAAATAGATTCGTCTCAAATTAACATACTTTTGTCATTCAAAACGAAATGGAGTTTCTCTCATAGGTTCTCAAAAAATAAACTATTAAAAAGTTTTTGTTTTTTAACTATTAGATTTATATTAAAAATTATTTACTCTACATATTTTTTTTAATTTAATGTGATTTTAATCAAATTTAATGATTATAATCTGACTCTGTCAGTAGAAAGGCTCTACCAAATAAACTCTCAACAAAAAAAGGAAAAACTACAACGATAAAGATTACTTTTCCTCATCAATGAAGCATGTTCATCAAACAATGAAAAACGAATAAGCTCACACCTTAGTTAAATAAGCCCATATCAAAATGCATATTTAGAGCATTTTGAATCTAAAAATGTCTATTTATTATTTTATTTATAAAAATACCTATTGTAATACATATAAAGACGTTCATATCCTTACCTAATGAAAAAAAAGAAAAAAAAATAAAAATCAACAAAATAAGAAAGATAGCATAATGAATATTCATGTTTAAATACAAAAAGTCAAATAATTAAATTTAATGAAACCTAATTATTTTAAGAAAAGGAAACAACGGCATAAATGATCAAAAAGGACAAAACCCAGAAATCAAAAGGAAAAGAAGAAGAAGAGATGTTGTATAACCCTTTTGATTTTGCAATTAAGAATCACACCGTCCACAGAGGCCGAAGAAGAATCGCACCATATTCACTTCTGTTATTTGCGTAACCACGCAGGACCCATAAAGCCCAGAGCAATGTCTTTCTCATCATCAATGACAGTATTTTTCACTTTTCAAATTAAACTCCTAAATTCAAAAACTATGAGAGAGAAAATATAATAATTTAATGATAATATTAATATTAAATAAAAATTTTAGAGCTAAATAGGAAAGTAAATATGTGGAATATTATGAGGAAAAAAACAATTATATAAAACAAAATTAACCATATAAGAACATGTTGGTTCGAAACGATTTTGAAAGTGTTGTAACTCGGATCGGGTCCGAATAAAAATTTTTATAAAACTTTTAAGAACGTTATAGTTTATATTAATTTTTAACGAATAAATAATCTAATTAATTTAGAATATGAATTATACTCAACGACTGATTAGGATGATAACTTGAATTCTTTGACTACGAATAATCTAAGTGTTTCGGTTCTCAGATCAACAAGAATCTTCCTCCTCAATTCCTTAATTTTACAAAGAACGTGTGTATGAGCACACCTGAAAATAGAAAAAGTAATTATCACTCACTCACAAGTCTTCCACATACATCAATACATGTATAGAAGTGTTGTAACTCGGATCGGGTCCGAATAAAATTTTTTATAAAACTTTTAAGAACGTTATAGTTTATATTAATTTATAACGAATAAATAATCTAATTAATTTAGAACATTAATTATACCCAACGACTTATTAAGATGATAACTTGAATTTTTTGACTACGAACAATCCAAGTGTTTTGGTTCTCAGATCAACACGAATCTTCCTTGTCAATTTCTTAATTCTACAAAGAACGTGTGTGTGAGCACACCTAAAAACAGAAAAAGCAATTATCACTCACTCACAAGTGTTCCACGTACATCAATACATGTATAGAACTGAGAATAGAAGAACTTTTTTCCCTTGTTTTTCTCTCCCTAATAACCGGCTACTATAGAGAAGAAGAGCAAAAATTTGTGTTCTCTAATTTCTGCAGCCCTACATTTATAAAGAAACTCTCATAATCTTAGAGAACCTCAGATTAAGATAATATTTCAGAAAATTAGAGATTAATTTTATTTTAAATTCTATTTAAAATCAAATAAAATTCTCATTTAATTTTAAAATAAGTTTCTCTCTTCTAGCACTTATAAAATTTGACCACAACAGGGATTTTTTCCTGTGGTAGGCACTGTCTTATCAAGTAGGCGGAAAAGAATTTTTTCCTTATCCTGTTGACCAATTTTGACACAAATTCAAATTCTCATTTAAAGTAAAACTTCAAACTAATTTGAATTCTAATTGGATAATTTGTCTAACAAGTAAAATTGGATTACTTGGAAAGTAAGTAATTGAATCCCAAAGGAATTCTTCCCTATGCTAAGCATGTTCCTCATGTGGTTCCCACCACTTATAAAGTTCATAATTAAATAATCATATTATTTAATATTTAATTGATTCTTAATTAATTATTTTTGAGTGAATTAATTTAGAATTCTATAATTCTAAATCCTGTTTTATCCTAGTGTCTTGTATAATTACAAAGACAACGCGGAAACTCATGGACCTATAATATCAAGCTCTAATAAAATTAATAATTAATTAAACTCTTTAATTAATTCATTCATTCAATTAATGTTAAAGTTACTCCACTATAAACTTGGAATTGTAATCTTGACATTATAGACATCTATTTACGTCTGTGAAATGTCCACTAGATATAGCTACTTCATATAGATCGATCGTCCATAAATAATTCATAATTAGAGCTAGGTGAATTAACCTCTCTAATTACATCTTTTTTTCTTGAGTATCATTGCTTCTCTAATGGCCAGTAATTCATAAAACAAATTCATGAATCAAAGTTCCTACTCATTCAAGTATCGAATTAATCCTCAAGGAAATTATTTATCTATTTATTTCTTAAAAAGAAATGGATTTCATCATGTATATTAACATTTATGGCTACCTATTGCTTCATGTCTCCAAGATACTAGGAATATGATTTATTTATCTTGAAATCCATACCGAGTAAGTCAAAAGACATGAATCCATAAATAGCAGTCTGCTAATAACTCAAGATTAAGATCATTCTATATATGACCATCGGTAGATTCAATTATAATTTTTATAGTTAATGAAAATTATCAGAAATTCATATTGTGTCTTATCCTAGTCCTACATAATCTCATTATGTAAAATACACTCATTCGATATCCCTCCATGTTAACGATGCGGATAAGCTCGTTCCATTCTTAAGAGAAATAATATGTATTAATAATGTTGTAATTAAAGATTCTAAGCTTTAATTAAATTTAATATGGACTAATTTTGAGTATTATCCTTAAATAATATCCTATAGTATATAACACTTATATCTTTAAGATCACATAAATAATCAATGAATTTTCAATGATATTCATAAGAATATAAATATACATGCACATAAAATAATGAAATTTTTATATTATTAAATAAAAAATAAAATTCATATTACATCACATGCTTTAAGGACACAATTCCTAACAAAACATGCCCAAAATAACCTATAAGGGCATATTCGGTAACGTATATGTTGGGAATAGTGTCCTAGAAGCATGAGATGTAAAAGGATATTTATTATTTATTTAATAAAAGAGTTTATTCATCATTTTATGTGCATATATATTTATGAATATTTTCTGAATATCAAATAAAATTCCTTGATTATTTATGTAACCTTAAACATGGTATATAAGTGTTGTATATGAGAGGATAATGTTTAAGGATAATAATCAAAAGTAATTGTTCATAATGAATTTAATTAAAGTTCAAAATCTTTAATTAAAACATTATTAATACATGTCATTCCCATTTAGAATGGAACGGTGTTATCCGCACTGTTAATATGGCGAGATATTGAATGAGTGTATTTCGCATAATGAGATTATGTGGAACATGGACGCAGACACAATATGAATTTCTAATAATTTCCGTTAAGCATAGAAATTCTAATTGAGTCTACCGATGGTCATATATAGGATGATCTTAATCCTGAGTTCTTAACAAACTCCTATTTATGGATTTATGTCTTTTGATTTACTC